AATCCGTGAAGAAGTAATCATGTTACATTTACTATCGCTAATTTCATTCAATTTCTGCTTGATTCCAGCAGGTAAACCCTACGGGTTGGACGACCCGCGGGTGGTTGAAGAACCGCGGGTTTACCCGCACGGGTTTCATACCCGACCCGCGCCGGGTACGGTTTCTGCGGATACGGGTGCGGGTTGACCTTGCGGTACCCGCGGTTGTACCCGTGACCAACCTTACCTGGACTTTACCCGCAAAGACCTACATGAATCATGGGGTCAAGTTGAAGCCATCATACGTACCTATCTATGCCCAGGTCAAGAGTAGTCCCTGGATTTTGGGACACGTATGCCAGCAATGGAGAGCGCTAGCTCTCTCATGCCCTATTCTTTGGTCAAAGGGCAAAAAATTCGGTCGGACCCGGTCAACCGCGGTCAAAAACAACACTGCCTGGGCTTTATTTTTCCCTATGATTTGCCTTTTTGTGGGGCTCTCGTCTTGAGTGTGCGCGCCGCTACTTTTTGTACTTGCTGCGTTGCCATCGCATTGTCCCTGTCGGGAAGGGAAAGACCCATTGGCGGAATCCGCACCTGCTTGAATTAAAAGTGGGGATTATTTGCAAGCAGAATACACTTGTTCGACTCGAATCGAGCCTGGGCCATGTTACGGCTTTGGAAGGGGTTTTTTTTAAAGAAAAATCGTAGAAGTCAATTAACAACTTCAAGAAGCCTCTCGAACATAACGATGTGATTTGCGTCTGCGCAACCACATCTTTAGTTGGGATGAGGTTGGGTGTTCAACTTTGATCTCAACCCGGCCGGCTATCTACTACCTCCCGCCCTTCCCGAGCTCCTCTCGTTCGTCGACGCCTCAGTGCTGCATCGCGCGGCTCTCCGCGGCCGTTGTCATCCCGTTCATCTCCAGCGAGCCCCTCCGCCGGCCCGCCCGTCATCGATCAGGCGCGCTGGCTGGACGCCCAGCTGCGCGCCATCAGCATCTCCACGCGCCTCCCCCTTCCAAAAAAAAACCTCCGTGTCGGTGTCGATACGCGATTCGCCGCGGCATGACGATATGCGTGGCAGGCGCCCTTCCCTTTCTTTTGCTGTTTTTTTTTTTTATGGCGATACAGTGCGTACGCGTAAGTGTTGTCCTCTTCCTGACAGGTTGTGATCTGGCCGACGAAAATGTTCTTGAATCCCGTGAAACTCTGGCTAGGGTGGAGGAGGGTGGATGGGATAGAATATCTATCGCCTTCACGCCAAGGTCTGCAGTTACATCGGATGGTTCGACTGCTGGCAGTAAATGTAAAACATCCGCTACGAGATCATGGCATTGTTCCGGCAAGGTCATAAATCCTTCCATTAACCTCCACTGTCTGCAAAAATTCCGTGGATGCCATGGCACGGACAATCAAAGCTATACGCCCCGCTACGTCGTCAGTCAAGATCGAGTCATCAATGATAATCGCCACGCGCTCGACCCGCCGAAACACGCCGATCCAGCGCCCAATTTTCCCCGTGCTCTCAAAAGCTAATGGGAACCCAGTCATCAATTCCAAGGCAACGACGTGATCAAGGTGCTGGCGAAGCTCGTCGGAGAGATTCGGATGAGAGAGTAAATCATTCGATATTGAGTAGACGGACCTCTCCATTGAGAGCGACAGCGCCGGAAAAAGCAGCCGGCGCTTGAAGCTGAGCATCAGCGCAGCCAACTTGCGAGCTATACCCGCCGCATCGGTGTCCCACCGGGGCGACTCAGATCGACGGCACAGGATTGAGACCGACTGGAGCTTGGGGAAGCGTTCTTTGGGTTGCAGGCAGTGTGCGAGGAACTCGGGCGGGGCTTTCAAGCTGAGAAGATGGCGGAGTGGAGTGCGGACGGCGAGCGCATCGTTCGCGCGGTAGGTGAACCGGGTGCCGAGTTCGATATGCGTGAGGCGGGGGAAGCGCGCGCAGAACCCGATGAGGTCCTTTGCGATGTGGGCCACATCCATCAGGACCAGGACGGCGATATTTGGGGCGGCAGAGGCAATCAGCGGCAGTACGGTGCTCCAAACGTCGAAGTCTAGTCCAGTGACTTTCGATATCGAGAGGGTCGTTATCGGGCAGTGGCGAAGGACGTTGAGGGTCCAATTTAGGCAGGGAGGGACGAGGAGGACGGCAGATTGGATATGTAGGGTAGTCAAATGCGCAGAAGCCATAGGCGCCGGAACCACAATCCAGTCTCCCCCTTGTTGAGGGACTCGACGGAAATGCGATCGGTCCTGCGGTATCTCTGAGCGCAATAGATGTCTCAAGGGAGCTGTTAGGCGATGCGTAAGGCTCTGCGGTGAATCCCGCCGCCGAGAGAGTTCGTATGCACTGGTTAAATGACCGCCATGCACCACAGTCAGGGAAACACATTCCTTGTCCAATATGGTGTTCAGCAGGTCCCCTAAAGCGGACGTCCACGAGCGCAAGGCATCGTCGTTCCCGTCCGACAGGCATTTGTTCGCCGAGAGATCGAGCTGCAGCGTCACTTTCTTCACAGAAGGGAAGCGTGAGATGAATCTCTTCACGCGTTTGAGCTGGACGAGAAATGGGGAGATGGAGGTGTAGCTGGGATGCGGCAGGATGCAGGTGATATCCTCCATTGTCGAGATGAAGAGAGCCGAGTGGAGGGCGGAGAGCATGTCCCAGTCACCCCTGCCCATAGGAATAATGACCGATCCCGACGCGTAATCTATGTTGTTTCGAGCGAAATAAAGTGGTAGGGCGACGAAATGCAACCGCCGAGACAGCAGAGCCAGACAATACAGGCCGTGGGTCGGAAAATCTGGATTCTCGAAAATGCGGGCGAGGATCTCGTTGGGAAGGTCTAGGATCCCAGCTGGGGCCATCGTGGAAAAGAGGAGAAAGGGTGGCTATTTGGTATTGTGTTGCTCTTGACCGAAAGATTGATATCAATTGGTGTCAAGTTCAAAAATGTGAAACCAGTATACTGTATTTAGATTGAGGCGCCTATTGGAGAATTGGACCGGGTCAGTGAGCCCGTGTGTTTTAAATTAGCGAACCTGAGCCATACTGTAGCTTTGTGTCCCAGTGTTTTTTTTATCCAACTCGCTGATTCAACTAAGCCACCCGAGTTCCTTGGTATAGAAATATAGATCTGGTAGCGGAAGGTCCGCATCTGCAACACTTGATAGGTGACTACCAGTCAAAGCAGAGCAAGCTCGTTCAAATCGAGCCTGGGTTATATTCTGTCCAGGGTGGAATTCTTTTTATTCCACTCGTTGATTTCAGTCAATCTACCAGAGCTTGACAATTCTAGAGAAAGGCCCATTGGCGGATGGTCCGCGTCTGCCAAATTTTGTGGACAACAGAATCTCAGTGGAAGACGCTCGTTGGAATCGAGCCAGGGCCGTGTTCTGTTGGCTTGAAATTCTTTTTCTTCCGCCGTTCAAATTCATCCAACGTAGCAGAGTTCGTGGGTGATAGGAAAAGGCCCAGTGGCGGATGGCTCCGCGTTTGCAATATTTACAATGAGCGTGGAGGTCAAGCAGACTAAGCTCGTTTGACTCGAGCCTGGGACTTGAGTCCCAATCTGTAACCTTTTTATTCAACGTGGTAGTTGCAACTTTGTTTAGCAGAATTTAGGGAGTTCCTATAGTAGGTATAGATATAGTGGCACGGTAGTGGATAGCTCCGCGTCTGCTGAACTTTCAAAATATATTAATGAGGTATTATGCAGATGTACTTAGCTCGTTCGACTCGGGGTCATGGTAGTTAGACCATTTATTTATTTCCACTATTTGTTGGTGAGATTCACCCCATCTATTGAGGTTTCGAGGGAGGACATAAAGGCCTAGTGGCGGAAGGCTCCGCGTCTGCCATTCTTCAGAGATTTCTTCGTGTAAGCAGAATACGCTCGTTCGAATCGAGCCTGGGCCATACGTCTCAACCTGCCTTTTTATTCAGCACGGTAATTGCAACTCTGTTTAGCAGAGTTACTAGGTTGGAGAAAAAGGTCCAGTGGCGGATGGCTCCGCATCTGTAAAAAGTTAGCCAGTTTTTCTGGAGGCTCTAAGCAGAAGTAGCTCGTTCGACTCGAGCCTGGACCGTACGTTTTCAGCGCCATTTTCTTTTCATAAACTTGTTGAAATTTACCCCATCGCTCTAGGTCTCAAGGGAAGAGAACAAAGCCCAGTGGCGGATGGTTCCGCATCTGCTCAACTTTGTAAATGAGTGGATTACATAAAGAACAGTAAGCTCGTTCGAATCGAGCCTGAGCCATAGCTTGTGGGAACTGTTTTTTTTTTTTTTGGCAACCCAACCGAGTTCCCTGGTATAGAGATATAGGCCCAGTCGCGGAAGTTCCACGTCTGCGAAACATTGTTCCGTTCATCTACGTAAGCAGAACATGCTAGTTCGACTATGTACCTGCCGACACGGCATTTTTATTCAACACGGTAATTGCAATTCTGTTGGGCAGAGTTGCTAGGAAGGAGAAAAAGGCCCAGTGGCGGATATCGATGGTCCGCTTCCGCGATATTTACACAGCGCTTGGAGGTTAAGCAGAGCGAGCTCGTTCGACTCGAGCCTGGGCTATGCAATGCGCGATTTGCTGTTTTTCATTTTGCTAATTGAAAATCAACCCATCTATTTAGATTTCAAAGGAGGGGAGAAAGGCCCAGTGGCGGAAGGTCTGCGTCTGTGATACCTGGGTTTGCATGATTAAAATGATCTTAAGCAGAATATGCTCGTTCGAATCGAGCCTGGGCCATGCATAATCCGACTCCAGGCTTTTTTTATTCAGTTAACCTGTTTGCCAAAATTTGCCCCATCTCTTTAGGTTTCAAGGGAGGAAAACAAAGCCCAGTGGCGGATGGTCCGCGTCTGCTGAACTTGTTCTCGTCGTCAGGTGCATATACAGAAGACGCTCGTTCGACTCGAGCCTGGGCCATGGCATGGTGGAATTGTTTTATTCCGCCTGTTAATTGAACCAACTTCACTGGGCTGCGAAGTATAGAAATGTCGGCCCAGTGGCGGATGGTCCGCGTCTGCTGAACTTATCAAGTCTCTCGAACTCTACCGAGGTATCATGATGCAGAAGACGCTCGTTCGAATCGAGCCTGGGTCATCCAGCGGTATTTGCTTTTTTTTTTTTGGATGAGGCCCTCGAATCCCCACATGGGGTCCAGTGAACGAAATAAATTTAGATTTGCGCACTACATTGTTATGTACGTGCGCGCGAATTATTTGGAGGCACGTATTTTTTGGTGTTCGAATCGTCACGGCGTGACATCTGATCTCAATCCGGCAATCCTGCTATTGCCACCAACCTTACTGGCTCGACGTGCAGCTCCGTCCACGCACGTCTTTGACCTCGGCGTCGAGATCTCATCTGACATGGGCCCAGTGCTGGGGTGGGTGAATGTGCTGCAGTGGCATCTCGAACAGAAGCGGCGAATTTTGGTGGTGTTTTGGTTTGAAGGGAGGGCGGAGAAGGAGAAGGACGGCTGGTTCAAGGACGTCAACCGCGTGTGCATCGACGACGACTACTGGCTCAACGACGCACCCTTCAAGCTGACGCTCGACTTGCATTCGGGTCCATTTTTCCGGTATTTAAATTGGTGATACTCATAGATTTGCATTCAGGCGTTTTTGGCCACACAGTGCATGACCCCATGACGGACCTCGCCACGCTCATGGGCATGCTCCTCGACGCGCAGGGCGCCAAGATCAAGCTCTCGGACAACAAGGCGAGTACTTCTCCGCCTTCGTATGCTCCCCACACTCGCGAACCCCATCCTCTCTAGGTCAAAGTCCGCATGCGCCTGCCCTCACTCTCGCTTCACGGCATTGACGGCGCTTTCTCCGGCCCCGGCGCGAAAGACAGTCATCCCCGCAAAAGTCGCTGGGAAGTTTAACGCAAGGTCCGCGCGCGTATGTCTGCGATGCGGGAGGAGGAGGAGCAGGCGGAGGCGCAATTGTCGCGCTGCCATCATGCGCGTCTCCGTGGTCTTGTCCCACCCGTCTTTTTCTATGTATTTTCGCCATTCCATTCCATTCCCTTCCCACCTTTTCCCATCCGCGTCCGCGTGTCCCACCCAGTATCCTTTGCACTTCCTTACCTCCTCTTCCCCTCGTCCACGCCGCTCGCCCTTGTCCTCCTCCTGCCCCGCCCCTCCTGCTCTTCGTTCCTTCACCTCCACGTCTCCACCATCTCCCACTTTCCACTCCTTATCCCCCATCCTTCCTCGCTCTCCCCGCACCCCCGCTCTCCCGTCTCCTTATCCGCGCTTCCTCCACCTCTGCGTGTCCCCTGTCCCCCGCTCTCTCTTCTCCACTTCCTCCCGCTCTCCCTCCTCCTTTCCCATCCTTTCCACCGTGCCTCCACTTTTACTCATCCTACCTTTCTTTCACTTTCTTCCTTTCTTTCTCGTACCCCCACGCTAACCACCCTCCCCCGACTCACCAATCCCCCAGACGCCTGCGCGCCGAGTTTGCCAAGCTCGGGATCAGTTATGGATGTGGCTAATGCGGCCCTTCTTCCTCCCTTTCTTTCCGTGAGGGTGCGCCGACTGCCGACTGTCTGGGGTGCACTAGCTCCTTGCAGGGTGTCGGTATGGCGCTCGCGGCGGCGGCGGCGGAATGACGAGATGTGTCGGCATCGGTATAGCGAGATGCGTGGCAGGCGTCGTCCTTCAATCCTTGCTTCTTTCCTTTGCTGTTTTTTTTTTCTTCTTGTGGTGGATGGCGATACACGTAGGTGGGCCGTGGATGCGCACGCGGCGCGCTTAGCCTACTCGGATGTGCGTCCCCGTGCACCTCCGCGTCTGTGATGAGCGTCGATGCGCGCGCTTGGCGCCCCTTGGCCCCGCGTGTCGCCGCGACTGTGCGTCCTCCTCGAAGGTAGCGCAGCACCGGTGCGACGCGCGTCGATGCGTGCGATTGGGGCGCCGCTTGGCCCCCGCGTGCCGCCATGACTGTGCGTCCTCTACGAAAGCAGCGGAGCACCGGTGCGGGCGCGCCTCGTCCATGCGTCGCAAAGGTGGTTTGACGATGCGGTGATTGGGGTGCTGCTCGTCGATGCGCCGTGGCGCAGGTGCATGTGCCTCGCTGGTGTAGCAAGGCGGTGTGCCTTGTCAATGTGGTGAGACGATGTACATGTACTGCCACGGCGCGCAGACCGGTGGTTCCTGCAAGCAGCGCAGATGCGCGGAGCCCGTCGTGGCGGGCGCGGGACGATGCGGGGCGCCCGCGGCTCGGAGTTGGTGGGACGGACATGGGGAGGCACGTCTGGGGTTCGGCAGTGACGACGCAGACGTACGCGACGATGACGACGCAGATGTGCGAGCCGTCGCGCCGTCCGTGCGCGCGCCGAGTTTGCCAAGCTCAGATCCGAATCTGCGTGGGGGGTTTTTTTTTCGAGTTTTTTTTGGCGTTTTATTGGGAGGGGCTCAGTGTTGTCCGAACCGGGTCAAAGGTCACCCGCGGTTGACCAAACTTGACCTTTGACCGCAGGTCAACCCAGTTGACCGAAGTTTGACCCTTTCCTTGACCCTTCCCAAATTGGAAATATCCTTCCTTGAGGTTTCTAGAGGGAGGGTTCATAGTAGTAATCACTTTTCTTGTCTATCCCTGTCGTTCTGAGTCGTCAATGTCCCAAATATCACCGGAACACTATAATGATCCTTTTGAATGGTATAAATTTTCGATGCGATATGACGGCTAATAGATCCCTCCCGAGCTCCTCTCGTTCATCGACGCCTCAGTGCTGCATCGCGCGGCTCTCCGCGGCCGTTGTCATCCCGTTCATCTCCAGCGAGCCCCTCCGCCGGCCCGCCCGTCATCAATCAGTCGCGCTGGCTGGACGCCCAGCTGCGCGCCGTCGGCATCTCCACGCACCTCCCCCTTCCAAAAAAAAAACCTCCGTGTCGGGGCATGACGATATGCGTGGCAGGCACCCTTCCCTTCTTCTTTCTTTTGCTGTTTTTTTTTTTTGATGGCGATACAGTGCGTACGCGTAAGTGTTGTCCTCTTCCTGACAGGTTGTGATCTGGCCGACGAAAATGTTCTTGAATCCCGTGAAACTCTGGCTAGGGTGGAGGAGGGTGAATGGGATAGAGTATCGCCCTCACGCCAAGGTCTGAAGTTACATCGGATGGTTCGACTGCTGGCAGTAGATGTAAAACATCCGCTACGAGATCATGGCATTGTTCCGGCAAGGTCATAAATCCTTCCATTAACCTCCACTGTCTGTAAAAATTCCGTGGACGCCATGGCACGGACAATCAAAGCTATACGCCCCGCTACGTCGTCAGTCAAGATCGAGTCATCAATGATAATCGCCACGCGCTCGACCCGCCGAAACACGCCGATCCAGCGCCCAATGTTCCCCGTGCTCTCAAAAGCTAATGGGAACCCAGTCATCAATTCCAAGGCAACGACGTGATCAAGGTGCTGGCGAAGCTCGTCGGAGAGATTCGGATGAGAGAGTAAATCATTCGATATTGAGTAGACGGACCTCTCCATTGAGAGCGACAGCGCCGGAAAAAGCAGCCGGCGCTTGAAGCTGAGCATCAGCGCAGCCAACTTGCGAGCTATACCTGCCGCATCGGTGTCCCACCGGGGCGACTCAGATCGACGGCACAGGATTGAGACCGACTGGAGCTTGGGGAAGCGTTCTTTGGGTTGCAGGCAGTGTGCGAGGAACTCGGGCGGGGCTTTCAAGCTGAGAAGATGGCGGAGTGGAGTGCGGACGGCGAGCGCATCGTTCGCGCGGTAGGTGAACCGGGTGCCGAGTTCGAGGTGCGTGAGGCGGGGGAAGCGCGCGCAGAACCCGATGAGGTCCTTTGCGATGTGGGCCACATCCATCAGGACCAGGACGGCGATATTTGGGGCGGCAGAGGCAATCAGCGGCAGTACTGTGCTCCAAACGTCAAAGTCTAGTCCAGTGACTTTCAATATCGAGAGGGTCGTTATCGGGCAGTGGCGAAGGACGTTGAGGGTCCAATTTAGGCAGGGAGGGACGAGGAGAACGGCAGATTGGATATGTAGGGTAGTCAAATGCGCAGAAGCCATAGGCGCCGGAACCACAATCCAGTCTCCCCCTTGTTGAGGGACTCGACGGAAATGCGATCGGTCCTGCGGTATCTCTGAGCGCAATAGATGTCTCAAGGGAGCTGTTAGGCGATGCGTAAGGCTCTGCGGTGAATCCCACCGCCGAGAGAGTTCGTATGCACTGGTTAAATGACCGCCATGCACCACAGTCAGGGAAACACACTCCTTGTCCAATATGGCGTTCAGCAGGTCCCCTAAAGCGGACGTCCACGAGCGCAAGGCATCGTCGTTCCCGTCCGACAGGCAGTTGTTCGCTGAGAGATCGAGCTGCAGCGTCACCTTCTTCACAGAAGGGAAGCGTGAGATGAATCTCTTCACGCGTTCGAGCTGCAAGATAAATGGGGAGATGGAGGTGCAGCTGGGATGCGGCAGGATGCAGGTGATATCCTCCATTGTCGAGATGAAGAGAGCCGAGTGGAGGGCGGAGAGCATGTCCCAGTCACCCCTGCCCATAGGAATAACGACCGATCCCGACGCGTAATCTATGTTGTTTCGAGCGAAATAAAGTGGTAGGGCGACGAAATGCAACCGCCGAGACAGCAGAGCCAGACAATACAGGCCGTGGGTCGGAAAATCTGGATTCTCGAAAATGCGGGCGAGGATCTCGTTGGGAAGGTCTAGGATCCCAGCTGGGGCCATCGTGGAAAAGAGGAGAAAGGGTGGCTATTTGGTATTGTGTTGCTCTTGACCGAAAGATTGATATCAATTGGTGTCAAAAATGTGAAACCAGTCTACGGTATTTAGATTGGGGCGCCTATTGGAGAATTGGACCGGGTCGTGTGTTTTAAATTAGCGAACCTGAGCCATACTGTAGCTTTGTGTTTTTTATCCAACTCGTTAATTCAACTAAGCCACCCGAGTTCCTTGGTATAAAAATGTAGATTTGGTAGGGAAGGTCCGCATCTGCAACACTTAATAGGTGACTACCAGTCTAAGCGGAGCAAGCTCGTTAAAATCGAACCTGGGTTATATTCTGTCCAGGGTGGAATTCTTTTTATTCCACTCGTTGAATTC